CGTCCCAACCGCACCATTTCAACAGTTGGCTACGGATTCTGTGATTCTTGCCCTGGGCGATGAACATCTCGGAGTAGGTTTCGGAGGAATCAAATCCCACCATGTAGTACGTGATGTTTTCTCAGGCGTTCGCCTTGCATACCCCGTGAGTAGGCGAGACACGCAAGCGCATGTTAAAATCTTCCGTCAGTTCATGGGCCTTCGGGCCACTGATTCGCCGCCAGCATGTCTAATAAAAATGGATGCAGCAGGAGAGCTCGAAGGAGCGGCCCATGAAGTTGGTCTCGTCCCAGAGACAAGCTTGCCTAACAGGTGGCCTCACAATACCGTCCTGGAGCGCGACATTCGCGAAGAGAAGGAATGCTGTCGCAGCATCCACTTGCAATCAGGGTTACCCTATTCGTTGCATACGTTTAGCTACCCATTTGCATGCCTCACCATGTCGTGCTCCATTCAGCCCCGGTAAAACTCAATGGGAAGCTCTCACAAAGGAAAAGTTCCAAGGGAAGAGATGCTGTTTCGGGCAATTGGTTTGGTACAGAACCAAGACTCCTGGCAAGCGCACTCTCGATCCGAACATGGCGCCAGCGCTCTTTTTGGGTTGGAGGGTCGATCCGGGGTTGCGGTAACGTGGTCAAAGTCATGGACTATGAAGCCTTCCGTAAAGACGGTTCCATTTCCGTTCACGATGTTCCTGAACCGGAATTGTTCGTTGAGGACGGACCGCCAAGCTTTCCGATCGCAGCAGCAGCAGATAGAGCATTGCATGGAGGCAAGACAGAAGGGTCAGATCCCCCACCTTTGCCCCTGCAAGAGGCGCCCTTTGGGGCCCCACCGACTCCATCCGCTGTCAAGTCAAAGTCCGTATACATAACTGTTGAGAGGATCATCAAGTTCAAGGAAACGCCAGGTTGTCGTGCATGCACCGGTCATTCCAAGATTCACAGTGCCGAATGCAAGAAGAGGTTCTCCGAACTTGTTTCTGCAGATCGAGCTGAAGCAGCTGCAAAAAGCGCTGCCAAAACTGAATCTAAGGAGCCCATTCCCATTGTTCATACTGAAGGGGGTGAGGAGCACGAGAAAGATCCTAAAATCGCAGTTACTGCAGAAGATGTTGCGCATGAATTTGATGCAGCCGAAGCCGGGGAGCCCGCTCCCTCAAGACCCGGTGCCTCATTTTTCGATTCCGCGCCAGCGACAGCCGCTACATCGCAAGGTGAAGATTTTTGGGTGTTCAAAGAAAGTGCCAACTGTTTGGTTCGGTACCATATCATGCCAAGGCAGAATCTTTTTACCCCAAAGGAGGTCGAGGATTGCCCCGTTTCCCCAGAAAGATTTACTGCAGCTCGCACCACTCGTGCCGTGTTTCAGGGGGGCAAAGCAGACAACATTCACGATGGTTGGTTTGGTAGCCGACCTAATCGCTCACTTGGAGATCCATGGACTGGGTTCACAGTGTTAAGTTAAAACCCATTCAGTCCGATTGCGTTATCACCACAGGTGCAGCCGTGATGTTAGACTCCGTACCGCCGACACCTCTCACCGAAGCGTCAAAGAACGGTCGTCCAGATACATTGCCAATTTTTGGCATGCCGTGCAGCGCAGAGGTTGAAGTCCGCAGCCCAAGCAGTTTGAGGTAGGAAATCATCGTGCCCGCAAGCGACAGGCACGCATTGATAAGTTGCCTGTGATGTTTGAATACGCATGTTCACCAGAGTCCAATATGGGTCGCGTGTTTAAAGGTCTTGGCATACCTCATGTTAGGCTGGCTAAAGAGTTCATCGACCTTAGCACAGATGAAGGAGAAATCCAATTGCAGTCACAGATAGAAGGTTGTGATAAACCCAATCTCTGGGCTGCAATCCCCTGCACATCAGGTTCAGCATGGCAACGCCTTAATAAGGCCAAGTTAGGAAGCCAGTTCAAAAAGAAACTGAAGCAAAAAGTTAGAGAGTCGAGAGAGTTGTTCTCCAGATTCAGACGTCACGCTGAGACTGTCCTCCATCAGGGGGGTAGTGTTTCGTTTGAATGGCCAAGGGATTGCGACAGCTGGGCTAGGGATGATGTTTCTGCATTCTTTAGGGAATACGCACAGGTCTTCACCCCAGCGACCTTCCACGATTGCGCCCTAGGTCTGAAGGACAGCAATGGTTACCCCATCAAAAAGCCATGGAAAGTCATGACCAGCAATAGCACCCTCGCACCCGCGCTAAGTGCATTCAAGTGTCCGCACGAAAAAGGGTATAAACTCTCGCTTGCAGCAGGTAACAAGACCGCAAAGACCGCTTTCTACCCCGAAGGCATGTGTCTCACAGTTGCCCGTGCGCTGTATCCGACAGTACAACCCGTTGTGCCTGCGATGCCTGTCCAAGTGCCATTGCCTCTCGACCACCGGGAACGTGAACAGCAGCTAAAACACATATCCCCTCTCTCTGGTTTGGAAGATATAGGTATTGCTGTCGAGTCCGATGAAAAGTGTCACGACATCCTTGAACAAGTTCTTGATGTTGAAAATCTCATCGCACATTCCCTAGGACAAGTCAAGGAGGAGAAGGATCCTGAAATCACCGCAATGGTGACCAGACTCTTGTCACGTGCCGAAATGTTGGCTTCCCCGGAAGCCCTTGAAGCCGTTCGACTTGAAGCCACAGGCCTGGAGAAGGCCGGTGTTTGGGATCTCAATTCGTCCGAGAGTATGATCAAGTCGCTGCTGAGGCGCGACGATCCAGTATAAAAGTTCATTTCGGGCAGTTGATGTCGCTAGCATCCGTCAAGTTCGCCGAACTCGCGAAACACCTTCAGAAGATGAAAGATAGGATTGTGTATCGCGGAGACTGTGCGAAAGACGAACATGGCGCAGCAGCTGTCTACCAAGAACTGGGAGCAAATCCCACGAGCGTACAAGGTCTTAATAACTGTCTCGCTTATGGATCCCTGCCAGGGAACTCCACCACAACAGCGGACGCTATAAAGGCTTATGCGCAAGCACTGCTGAAATCCAAGTACCAAACTTGGATCACACTCCCGCCTGAGCTCCGGCCAAGGTGGTGGCGCGAGCGTTTCGTGAAACCTGTGGTTTTGCTCGTTAAAGCTCTTTATGGGCATCCTGACGCTGGCGGACTCTGGGAGGCACACCTCAAAGGTTTCATTAGTGAACTTGGAGGGCGTGAGGTCGCAGAGTTTCCTGGAAACTTCTGGTTCAAGGAGTCCGGGTTACTTCTCTCGACATACGTCGACGACTTGACGTTGGCCGGCCCCAGCCACCTTCATAAAGACTTCTGGGAAAAGTTAACAAGACTGGTTGATATAGAACCCCCAGAAAACATATATCGGGTGCTAGGCAGGAATCACCTTTTGATAGATGCTCCAAAGGACCCAACTGAACCCGATCTTAATGCCGCAATGGGCAGATTAAAAGGGGGCATGGCGTTCGACATGCGAGATTATGCTCGTCAAACGGTTGCATTATATCTTGAGGTCGCACAGCTAAAAACTGAAAAGTTGCGTGATGCCTTCACTCCATTCTGTCCCGCTGGATCTCTAGACCCTGCAGATGACGCCTTGGAGGGTGAGCTCGGCTTCGCCGCTTGCCGCGTGTTGATGAAAGCCTTATGGTTGGGTCGTTTGGCACGCCCGGACCTGGTCAAGCCCATTGGCGACCTTGCTTCCTTTGTTCAGAAATGGTCTAGGAACTGCGATAAGCAGCTACATAGGCTTGTCTGCTACATAAACAGCACGGTTAACAGCACGTTAGTTGGCACAGTTCAGGATTCAACTGATGAGTTGCATCTGTCTCTCTATGTGGACGCTGATTTCGCTGGAGAACGAGACGCAAAGTCAACGTCCGGAGGCTTCTTGATTTTGAGTGGTCCACATACGCACTTCCCTTTCGCGTGGGTGTCTAAAAGGCAGACCTCGGTCTCCCGATCGACAACCGAGGCGGAAATCGTATCTCTTGCGTACTCCCTGTACCAGGAGGCACTTCCTGCGCTCAGCTTATGGGAGCTGATCTTGGACAGACCATTCCATCTCAAGATCCACGAGGACAATCAGGCGACTATCCTCGTAGCAAAGAAGGGTTTCTCATCCAAGCTACGTTGTGTACAACGCACGCACAAGGTGAACCTCGCTTGCATCGCAGAGCAGCTTGAAAGCGAACACATCTCGATAGAATACGTCCAAACAGACATGCAGTCAGCAGACATCTTCACGAAAGCACTTCCACCCAACAAGTGGGACCATGCCATCAGGTTGCTCGGCATTCGTGTTGACCTTCCAGAGAAGCTTGAAGACGTTCGTAGAAGCAGATCCGCTAAAGCAGCTGCCTAGTGCGCTGCAGCATGTCCGCAAAATTTCCAAAAGTGTGCAAGTGACTGGGCGAGGGTGGGAATGAGCAACGATGCTTGAATAACTTGCGTCAGTCGTTGTGATGTAAACTTGACTTCAAGTTGGCGTGGTAATGCGCCCAAGACACTCCCTCAGTGCCGTCAATGAGGGGGGAGTCAATTATCACGATGACATTTATGGCCCAGAGGTGCAACAAGTTGCGTGGTGTACAAACACGTCAAAGACACAGATGACATGCCCGCATGTCATTTGGCTCAAGTGCTGAAAAGAGCGCGTTGCACGCGCTGCCCACAAGGTTAGGGGAGAGGTCGCAGTCACGGCGGGGTTCGTTCCTTTTAAGGTCCCGGGTTCCCCCGTTGTTGAGAAAACTGTGTTTCCCTCTCCTTTGAGTGGATGAGCATCAAGCACTCAAGGGATGTATTTGAGGGCTACTATTTGTGGTATCCTTGGAGAATTCTCCTCAAAGGTGACAAGGTAGTCACGCTTGGATGCGAAACACCTACTGAACGTTCTCAGAAAAGGGGCAACCTTGCACAAGCATGATGTATGTGTTCTCTAGGGGCCCCGTTCAGGTGGTTCAGGTGCTTGGCTTCCTTTTGTAATCTTTACTTTTTCAATCCATCTTTTTAAGCAATGCATCTTCTTGCCTCCTTTCAAGTTCTCTCCCAGTGCTCAAGTGCTCCGGATCGTGGGGCCCGGCGGGCGGCGGGTGGCGGGCACGAGCTGGTTGCACCCTGGCTAGAAATTGTCGAGCAACCTGGTTAGGCCAGGCGAATCGCTACGAATGTTGAAGGGAAGCATATCAAACATAGTTGGGGTATCAGAGCAACTTGCGCAAACAGAGCAGCCTTGGCAGAGCGACTTGCGCAACAAGCATGTTCCGGGCATGTCTTTCGTGCGCGTGCAACATCCTGGTGGTGGGGGGTGGTGCTGAAGGTTCACCGTGCCCATCCAGCTTCAATTCAACGGGCCCACAGAAGTCGTAGCCAAAGATCCAGGCGAGCTGAGGAGCCAAGTTGATGAAGGAGAGATGTCCGGCGCGACGGCCAACGAACGTGCGACACGGTGGGGCGAGGCAGGGATCAGGCGATGACCGCACGGATGCCAGCAAGAGTGAAGGCTGGGAAGCAGGCCGGGCGCGCGTTTTCTTCGATGAAAGTTAGACCGACGGCGTCACAGAAGCTGCACCTTGGCAGTAAGAGCCTCGCCAGTTCAAAGGAAACCTGTGTGGGAGTCGAAGGCTCAGGAAGATCAAGGCGCGAATCGAGATGCCAAGGGCAAATGGCGAGACAAAAAAGGCGAGGACTGGATGAGGGCGAAACAAGTGCGACACGCCGGCAAAGCGCAGCAACGGGACGAGACCTAGGGCAAGACGAAAGTCATCGAGTTCTGCCTGAAAAGAAGTAGATGTTGTGACAACAAACGCACCACCAGCGACCCAAACAACAACAGCAACAAGACCAACAGCAGCAGCAGCAGCAGCAGCAGCAGCAGCAGCAGCAGCAACAGCAGCAGCAGCAGCAGCAGCTACAGCTACAGCTACAGCTACAGCTACAGCTACAACTACAACTGCAACTACAACTGCAGCAGCAGCAGCAGCAACAGCAACAACAACAGCTACAACTACAGCCGCAACAGCAACAGCAGCAGCAACAACAACAACGCCAACGTCAACGCCAACGCCAACGCCAACGCCAACAACAACATCGCCACCAACAGCATCGCCACCTTCAGCAGCAGCAACAGCAGCAACAACAGCAGCATCAACAACAACGACGGCAACACCAACCAGCAATGCCAGGTTGGCGCAGTGAATTGGGTTTGTGCAAAGGCCCTTTTTTTGAAGACGAATCCAACACTGGGCAAGGTTCACAGGTTTGCTTAGCTATCCACCCAATGATTCCCGTAGGGTGGGCAGAGGGTTAGGGGTTAAAGGCCCCCCAAAAAATACTTGCTTGTTGCCTTTTCTGCGCTAGAGCAACTCAGCCACAGGACGGTTCCTTATTCCGTCATGTTCCCCTTCCACCAGCGAGCCAGGATAAACTGAAGCAGGAATCGCAACCAACCAGTGATGTTCAAACCAAATCAATTGACAACTTGGGTAGAGACACTTGTCTCAAGAAGTAGAATACCGCTGGAAACCTCATCACATGGACCTACCCACCCCTCACGCCACTCTGAGGCCATGCGGATCCATGCACTCTTTTGTGCGGTGGCTCTGGCCCAGGCGTGGCAACGGCATCAAAACCTTTTGTAGTCCGATTCTTTACAAAAAAATGAATGAAAGAACCGAATGATGAACAAAAGGACATCATTCACAAACAAATGTTCATTCCGACAATGAATGCATCAAAGCAACACTTCAACGAACACTTTTTGAGAAGACATCGATCACCACCTTGACGAAGAATCTCGCTGAGAATCTCCATGAACACCTCGAACACCTCGAAGTGGATCTGTTTTGACCATAGACAAAGCTGGGAGTATGATCGGTATTTCCCCAATCAAAAATTATGCTTTCTGTTTTCATATAGTCAGCCTTGGCAAAGAGACCGTTGTTTTCTGTTTGATTTTGCTCGCCTCAAGACAGAAAGGCCAAGGCTGTTCACTACTTGAATGGGAGGGTGCTTCCAGGCATTTAGAGTTTGGAGGGCAAAGCTGGTTGAAACGGACAACCGAAACATGGCTTTGGGGAAAAAGGGATTTAGGGTACCACTTTCTTTGTACCAAGGAAGCCCTGTATCATAGAAAGGTTCATTTCCCACAATCGTGAACTAAGAGAAGGCTAGAAAGGTTGTAGAAATAATGGCGATTTAGCAGTGGAGTTTTGGATGGATTTGGCAATTCCCCACCTGGGAACCAGTGCAGGAGGGTGGGGCTTGGTACAACATCCAGCTGGTATGTTAGCCAGCCGTGCGGCTGAGAATCGATCTGCTTGCGCGCCGCTTCCTGTTTTCTTGCTTCGTGGGCATTCAAAAGCATTGCTCTGCTAGTCTGCTTCAGTCAGAAACCCGAGCCCCACGCGTTTGGGTCATTCTCAAAGCCTCAAAGCCCCCCCCCCCACCCTTCGACCCTTCTCCAAACATGGAGCTTGGCGGAAGCTCCCTTGGCCAAGCACAAGGCACATTCCCTCAGGATTCAATCCACAGCCGTTGGCGCATTTTCTCCATAGCCGTTGGAGGTCTGGTAAAGGACACCGACTTTGACCTGAGGGGATACCCTTACTCCCACTAACCTGGCGCCTGACAGACCCTCCCACAGGTGCCATGTTAGTGGAAGGGAGCGGCTGATTACTCGAGTTTCATCTCACCAGTGCATGGGTCGCCAGGTCGTCAAAGGATCGCGCTCCCCGCTCTTGCAGGCCGGCCTGCAAAAGCCATCCATACGGTTCCTTTCGGATTTGGGGTGTTTAGAGGATTGCCGACTTGGCACAAAGTGAAACTCTTAGCAAGGGATCAGCTACTAAGCTTCCGTTGGAACCCTTGGGACACAGGACGCCGTCTCTGAAAGGCTTCTACTTGCCGTGAAAAGAGAGGAGTGTTTGCTGGCAATACAGTTGCGCACGTGCAAAGGGAAGCCAAGAGGTGCAGGTTTTACGTCCTACATGTTTTGTAGCCGAAACCGTGCTGTCTGAATCACTTGGCCTCCCATCCACTTCTATGGAACCGGAACCTCACTGGGGACCATTCTCCTCTAAATGAACCTTCTGGTGGGTTCTGTGTTAGTGGAGGGATGGCAGGTTTTCAGGATGCTTCCCTCGCCGAAAAGCATGCACCAGACGCTTGCTCAGGCTCTCGAAAGCACGCGAGTAGAAGAGGAGGCGCGAACCGCCGCGTTTTCGCCGAGATCTCTCGTGACCCCGTGCGCGGCCTCCGAAGTGGCGGGAACGAACGGCATCGGCTCGAAGCGTGGAAATGGATGGTTTGCTTGGCGGCTTCCACGTAGAACTTCCCAAGAGAAAGGCTCTCAACATAAAGCTCGATCATCTCCGGCGCGCTGACGCGCTGAGATGACATAAGTCCTTGTTGATGTGGCTGTGGGAAAAAAATTCGCGGAGACCCCAAAATGGAGCCCTGGTAAATGGAGCCAAAGACTACGCGGTTTTATTTTGACCCACCATGTGGAGACTTTGCATTCTCAAGACGCGCCCACCTTTTCTCCACGTTCAGGTTGGCCCGTTGCCGTTAAAAGCGTCCTCCGGTTGGCCGGGAGGACTTGGTTTATGGGGCCTGGTTGAGTCGTGTTAACCACTTCTTGACTGCTATTGGGTTTGATCTTCAGACTTTTAACTTTTTGGGAAATCAGGGGGTTTTCCACTAAACCCCGAAAAAGTTAGACTTTTTGCAGGGGGGTCAACAGCAACCAAGACTTGGGTTTGAAACCAAAGGTCAGCCGAGCCACAATCAAGACCGATTCGGGTGTTGAAGATTGTCAACCAGTTGGTGACCGTCTGTCCCCTTGCCATCAGAGCTGCGTCAAGTCGGCACTTTTGATTCGACTGGTTTTCGGGAAGCTCCTGTCATACCAGGTTTTGGTGAGGTTCACAGGGGAGACATGGGAAGGTTATGGACCTTTCTGGACCCTTGCGAGTTGGCAAGTGAAGCAGTCTGGCAATGATTAAAATATATCAGTGGTCTATGGTCACATGGAAGGCCTCTCAGACTCAGTTCCTCCACAACACCCAGGGGGCATCCAATCTTCTCATGTCCTTTAATGAAAGTCGTTGCGTCCGCTCATATGATCGGGTTTCGGTTTCGGCCCACAGTTTTTCTCTTTACGACCTTTGATATCTTTACCTGAAAAAAGACAAGAAACCCCACCAGCCATCAATGATAAGTTCCCCTTTTCTTCCACGCAATGCATCGCCTGTCTCAAAAAGTCACCGTGCCAAATCCGCCGAGCGAGGCCCGGACACTTCTTAGTTCTCACCTCAGCGACATGAAGACCTTGGAGCCTGAGGCAGGGACGCGTCAGATCTTTTGGGCATATGCACTGAATAGGTTCCAAGGCCATGGTTATCGCTGGGGCAACTGGGGTGTTATGGGTGAACACTCAAGCATGTCCGGCACCAGAAGGCCGGAAGGGGTCTGGTTGCTGATGTCACCTGGGCTTATGTTGGAGGGAGGCCCTTTCCAAGTCAGCCACGTGCCTTTGCTTTTTCCTGCGGCCACTGGTGTAAGGTGATGTCCATTCACCCGGTACCTGGCAGGTGTTATTTATTCTTGTGTCAACACAAGTTGGACTCTTCTGGGAAAACACGTACAGGGAAGCCGAAAGAGGCCCTTCTAGCCTTTCCCCGGTAGTATTGGCGTATTGGGGAATGGGATCCGAGCTGAAGACGCGGGCGATTAAGCTATCCCCAAGGCGTGTTTGAGGTACAGTACCTTGGGGATGTTGATGGGTGGAAAGCAGATGAGACCAAACTGGTGAGCCAGCTTGGTTCATGCTTCATGTAGTGCTGGCATAAGTTTGTTTTTTCTTTTAAATAAATTTCTCAAGCGAACCACAGAGAATCGCAATCCTTTTATGACAACCGCGACCAAACACATCCCTCAGAAGCCCTCGGTGCCAGTGAAACCGCCAACTTCGTCAGGGAAGACCAGAATCAAGGGTCTTGCGTCGGGGGAACGGTTTTTGTTCAAGTCCTTTGAGCAGGTGCTTGGCAAACAACGGATTCTTCTATCAGCTGCCTACCTGCCTGCCACTCACTCACTCACACAGGCACGCACTCATTCAACCAAATAGTCAGTCAGTTTGGCAAGCAATATATTAGTGGATCTTTCTTTGATTATTCCATTCCTTGTATGATGAGAGAAAAAGGACACCGCCATCACAAGCTCTTTCCTCTCTTCAAATTGTGTCACCTAGAATACAAGGGGCCAGTCAAAAACACCCAAATACCAGCTGATTTAGAGGATGCGAAACCCTAAAAAGCAGACATAGTTTGTATTTTGGATGTCTCTGGTGAGAAGCCGTGCTATCTTCACTGGCTTGCTGGGGAGTTGAAAAGACCTCGTGTGGTGTTTCCAAGAAAGAAGGGGAGACTGTTTGGTTTGGTTTACGGAAACCAGAAGGGGGGGATTAGAGGTCTTACATGATTCTGTTTGAGTGGGCCTGGTTCTGGCGAAAGGGTGGCGAAAGCGTTGCCAGGTGGTAGAGATGGTTGTGCTGCGGCAATGGTTCTGGGCTCAGGATGCAGCCAGGAGCCCGACAAACCACCGGGACCCCCTACTTACCAGGCGTAAGGGATGAATACCACGGTCCTTGAAAGGGTACCAGTGGCCAGTGAAAAAATACTCGTTCAAGCTGATGTATGATCCCTTGTACCGCAGGTGGTTGCTTATGACGTATTCTTTAAGTAACACAGCAGCTAAGCTCTTAGGGCATAGTGCTAGGACCTCCCCAGACGATCCTCTTCGTCAAATATCCTTTGAACCAGACACAATCCACAGAATACTGTATGGCAAGAAGAGGCGCGGCCGACCTCCGCACAATTGTCTGCACTATGCAAAGAAGTATGGTTTATGACATGTTTTGCACGTGCCCAACAAACACCCTTGTGAAGCCCTTATTAAGGCCTTACTTAGGGCTTATTTAGGCTCCCTCCCCCTCCCCTCCCTCCCTCCCAGCCCCCATAAGCTCTTACAAGGATTCAACAGATGAGGATGCGGCGCGATCGATTAATGCAACGTGAGAGAGCGAGAGGAAACAAGTACGGTGGTGATGTTCCTTTTGGTTTTCATTTCCAAGCTGACAATGGTTTCCTTTCGGGCTCCTTCGAAGACTCGAGAAAGGGCCCAACTCGGTTGTCTCCAATTTTGTCCGCGAGTGGATGACATAGTTCGATTTTTTTTAGCAACTGAGCCTTTTGTTTTTCTGAGGGAATCCCGAAGATGTGTTTTGCTTTTGATCCTCCTTCAAGCCAACCGGAAGAAAAAAGAAAAAATCAAAACCAACGCATCTCGACCGCAGAAAACATACTCGCAACACATCGCAGGCCCAACTGTAGCTCCCCCGCTCGACGTTTTTCTGGCCTGAGGTGGACGTTGGCGCGTGAGCTGGTCTCCAAGTCCCACGACCAGAAGGCGGTGTGGGGTCCATCCAACCCCGCCGCGTGCCATGGACACTAAGAATGAAATTTGCAGCCAAAACAAACCGTATTCTGAAGAACACGTGTCCCTCAGAATGCTTAACTGTTCAGCTGAAGCTTTTCTTCTTTGGTCAAGGCCCCCCAAAGGTTTCAACTTTTCTGGCCAAACACAGCAGATCGGCTTGCAGGGGGGGAGGACCGCTGGTCCACGCCAACCCGGGACTTTGAGTCTGTTGAGGCATGCTCACTGCCATCGATCTCCGGGAAGATTTCTAGGTTAATGGGCAGTCACCAGATATGTATTTCCTGCCTTTTGAGTATCAACAACTAAACATGGTTTGGGGGGCGGGGGGAAATTACAGCACTAAAGAGTACTTGGGATTTTGATCATCTAGTTACTTGGGGTTAGTTGGGGGTGGTCATGAACTTCTTGGCGGTGCAATGGGGAATGGCAACGAGTCCGGGTGTTGGGATGACCCGGAAGGGAATTCCCTTAAAGGAGCCAGTTGGATGGATTTTAGGGGTCATTCCATTTCTCATTCCCAGCTGAGAACCAGAAAGAGTTTTTCAAGACCCAGAGCCTTCACCTCGCAAAAGCTGCAAGGTGGACCTGTCCTTCTCCGTGCGGAAAGCCGTGCGCAGCCTCAAGGCCCGGCTGTGTTTGCTGCTGGTTGAAACAAGAATATCCTTCGGGAGATATGGAACATTGACCCGAGTGGGAGGTGTTGGATGAAGATTCCCTCAAAAAGTTGGTCCACGCCGAAGAAGCCAAACAACCGATGGCGACCGAGAACGGACATCCGAGAACGGGCAACGTCAAGAGTGGTTGGCCCAACCCTACGGGGGGGGGGGGGGGCTGGGGTGTTGTCTTGAGTAGATCAGTTCTGCTGCGCGTCTTGGAGTTGAGTTTGGAGATCGATTTCGGCTTTTCGCCTTGGCGCCAAACGAGCCGAAACTCAAAACCCTGCCAAGTGGGCAGTCCCATCCAGAAAATGGGCTGCAGGTGCAGCCGCCCGTTTGTTTCTTTGCATGGATTTGGTCCACCTTGAACAATCGCCCTGCTGTTTACAGGTTGAAGCTCTAGATCTTTGGATTATCGAAATCAGCAGTACACCTTCCGGAGCGGTCGCAAATTGCAAGTCATCCCTATGCCAGTTTGCAGGTCCTACCCCCAAGTGTGGTTCATTCAGGCCATGGTCTATCCAGGGTAGAAGCCCGGCAAAAGACGCCGCCTGCGCTTTGTGTCTTGTTCTGTATGATGGTTTTCTGCTCAGTTCGGAGAATGATCCGGGAAGAACGGACTTCGGACCAATCAAGAAGGTTTCACCAAGGGAGTGCAGTCAATGTCGGGGGATGGAGTACGGACGGCCAACCCGCATAACTGGCCAGGATTTTTTTCTTGCCACTCGAGTTGGACGCCGGGTGTCAGCGATCCAAAAGCCCAGTGCTTGCAACTCGTTTTTCAGGAGGACACCAGAAACATCCGTCTTTGCGCGGGGGGCTCCTTACCATTCTAATTGGGGCCCTGGAGCGGACTTCATTTGGCCATGGCACGGATGAACACCCATGTACAACCTATTTTGATGTTCACCAGGGGTACAGGGTTTTGACCCACAGCCATATGGGGATGGGGGTGGTATGTTCAATCAGTTGGTCCAGCGGTTCCCGTTGTGGGCAGGTCTTTTGAGGGTTGCCTTTTTAGGGCGGGTTCAAAGGGAAACCAGTTGGAGACAAATACTCCCGGTTGTTTCCTTGTTCAAAAGACAAGGAAGTGTTTTGGGGGCCTCTCATTCCATCTGGGCTAAGCGCTTGCCCTGGGCTTTCGTTAGGACGAGGCGGATGAGTTGCTGAGGACGCTGAACCCCAAGTACGGCTTGGCCCAGCAGGAGCGGCCCGGCGCGCGAAAAATTGGGGGAGGTCGTCGTCGGTCATTCTTGGAACCAGAAGCCGGGTGGACTCACTGCCGGAGTTCCTGGGACTGTGAACTTTGTGGGAAACCCGTTTTAGCGGTGAACAAAGAGTTAGTTTTTGTTTTGCGACCCCACTCTGGAAGTGAGTTGATGAGTTTTTTTCTTTTCTTTTTTTGCGAGTCCAATCTGGAAGTGAGTTGATGCAAGGGCCAAAGTCCCAGCCATAAATGGGTGGTCAAAAACCGGTAGTGCCGACGCTTCATTTGTGCCCCCACACCTCAGCAGGGTTTTCCATCGTGCGCGGGTTTCTCTTTGAAATGAAGTATGAATTTGTGCCCATTGCCACTGGAGGTCTGGGACACCCTCTGGTTCTGAACCCTTCGCGGGGGTTTAGAATTCTAAGCGTTGCTATTCAGGAAATCATGGCCATGATAAGTCCCCAAGGCTTTTGGTTCCGCCAACATGGTGGTTTCCAGTGTTCTACAGGCCTTACAACAGCCCCACCCCCCACGAACCCAGGTAGAACCACGGCGTGGCTAGGGGACGGTCCAGATCCCTTGAATGCCGGGCTTGATTCTGACTCTCGGACACGGTTCCGTTTTTGGACAACCCCAAAGTAAACTTAAACCCAGGGGTGGTTGATTTCCCCAAAAGGGAAACGCCTGGGTTTAAGTCTACCTTGGGGGTAGTCCAAAAATGGAACCCTGCTCTGGAAGACATAAGCCTTGGATGTACGGCTTTTGGGAGGGAAGCGACATGGCACCTCGACTGCCAGGTGTCTCCAGCTTTCCAGTGGGCTCAGAACGACACATCCATTTTCCTGACCATCAAGCCCCGCGCTCAGACTGCGTGCGTCAGGAGCTTTTCAGAAGGGATGGGCAACCCCATTCCTATTGCGTGCAGGAACTGTTATATTTTGGGCGTGCCTTTTTGGCTTATTTGATGGTTGGGAGCCGTTGCCCTTTAGGTGCAAGGGTCCCCCCCAAGGAAATCGGGGACCAACTTAAGAGAGGGAAGAGTCATGGGTCATGGCCCCAGTGACGATTTTCCCCAAACGCATGCCGACCGTTTTTTCTCCTTGATCGGGCGGGTTCCGCGAAGCGGGCCCGTCCATTCTGGGATCTAGATTTTTGGCTTTCCCTGAATGGGACACACGGACCGGATTGGGTGAAGTGCCGACTCCTGCTAATATATGGCGCACTCCTTGTGCGAAAGGTTTGATGTGGGAGCAGGGAGCAAGTTCTCGCGTTTAAAGGCTGTCAGCCTTTAGACCGTAACTTACACTTTTTGATTAAGGCAACGCTTGGAGGATGCCACGAGCTGCAGGGGGGGGGGGGTTGAGGGTTCAGAAAATCGGCTGGGAGTCCCCTCGGAGTTTTTGGCCAGGTACACCGTGCGGTGGAATGCGCCTGGCGCCCTTGAGGCTGGACGAAAACTCGCCGGTGGGTGGGTGGTAGACTCTTCTGGGGTAGACTTAGGATACATGGCCATGGGTCAAAACCGTTTTGGGATCCCATTTTGGGGTAGGTAAATTCACCACCCATTTTAGAACCTATTTTTGTGGGGATTGGAGGGGCCATGGCGCCACAGGCGGGGGAAACAGCGGCGGAGGGGCCGTTCCCTTAACTGCGGTAGCCTTAGGATACATTTTACATTTTACCAGTGACTCAAAGTGAAGCAAACAATGAAAATTATCATTCCATAACTGGGTCTAACTCTAATCGTGTCTTGCTGTAGCTTTTGAGTAGACTCGTGAAAAATCCCAGAGGAACCCTCAACAACCGGACCGTCAACAAACGGAGTTTTTACTTGGGTCTTCAGGTGAAGATGGCAATGCCGTGCTTTGGCTACGAAATCACGCTTCTTCGAGCATTTCCAAGACTGGTTGGGCACACCAAACGGGTGAGGAATTATGTGTATGTCTGTGTTTTGAGAGGGCCCCCCCCGGCACCTTGGTTCAGAAAGGCCAGGACGAAGATCTCCATTTTTAGGGGATCCGACGTAGCCCACTTGTGTGGCTGGTTTAGCTCGCCGGCTCCGCTCGCGTTTCGCTCCGCCGGCGAGCCGCTCGAAGCTCGCGTTTCGCTCGCGTCAGGTGACGGAGCCCTCGGTGAACATGTCGGGGAACTGCTTCAACTTCTCGGGGCTCGGGAAGCATTCCAACAACAAGTGCGCTCGAGAGAGCGCTTCGAGCCGTGCTCGAGAGGGCCAACAAAAACCGGGTGGTGTTGACCGGATGAAGAAACCGGTCGATTTCCCCCTTCGAAAGTGAGGAAGCTCCACTAAACGTGGACACCCCTTATTCATCGACCAGGGGGTTCTTAATCGTGTCTGGAGGCCGTATTTGGCAAGGCTTGTGAACCTCTAATTGGGGCGGCGGAATGACACATGGAATGTGGGTTAGAGTCTAGAGGCCGTATTTGGTGTGAAGGCTTGCGGGGCGGGAGCCTGGGGACTCAGGGTCCGTGCGCGGCTTGGGTTCAACAGACCTTTCGAAGGTGCGGCCACATGGGGTCTGCATGAAAGGGGTGTTCCACAAACAGACCTATTTGTTTGCCTTGAGAAACCCGCCCAACGGTTGTGAAGCAAAGAAAAGTGCAACCCAACTAAGGTACCCTAAACCTACCCCAAACATACCCTAAATCTAGCTGAAAGCCTACCCTTTGCGCCCACCCTAACTTGTAGACTAAACCAACCAACCCAGGTGTTGTAAAACAAGAGACCTACTTTGTTTGCTTTGAGAAGCCCAGGTAAAACGAACAAAAGGAAGCGAAACTTACCCCAAACCTACCCCAAACCTACCCCAAACCTACCCCAAACCTACCCCAAACCTACCCCAAACCTACCCCAAACCTACCCCAAACCTACCCCAAACCTACCCCAAACCTACCCCAAACCCAAACCTACCCCAAACCTACCCCAAACCTACCCCAAACCTACCCCAAACCTACCCCAAACCTACCCCAAACCTACCCAAAACCTACCCCAAACCTACCCCAAGCCTACCCTAAGCCTACCCCAAACCTACCCCAAACCTACCCCAAACCTACCCCAAACCTACCCCAAACCTACCCCAAACCTACCCAAACCTACCCCAAACCTACCCCAAACCTACCCCAAACCTACCCCAAACCTACACCAAACCTACCCCAAACCTACCCCAAACCTACCCCAAACCCACCCCAAACCTACC